CTTGAACTATCCAATTGTACTGTATCATATTTTTGAGTGGAAATTCAAGTGGCTCTGATTCATGTGTTATCTCTCGGACGTGGTGTGAACCTTCATGTGAATGCTCTCATCTAACAGCTGAATGATGTTCAGCTAAGTAAGTATCACTATTAAATCCGAAACTCCTACGGTCTTCACCTGAATAAGTCTTCACCTGCATAATGGAAGCTGGTAAGGACCACACACATACCAAAACCTGGTAAGCATTCACCATGAATAGCTTCTTTTATTTTTTTGCCCATAACTGAATAGGTCCAGTGGCCTAGCTCAGTTGGCTTCGTAAACAAGTCACATTCAGGCGATCATGGGTTCAATCGCCCACAGCCACCGCAGGTGTTCATCAGCTGAGATAGGGTCCAGGGTTCTCTTGGAGACCATTCCTGCCATTCCTCTCTGGGGGTTAGTTCCCAGATCTTGTAGACTTCTGATGTCTCTATGCCTGGTAAATTTCAGTTGGCTCTCCTCAGTTCCTAGATCTAGTACATTTCAGCTGTCTCTTTGCCTGGTAGATTTTGGTTGGCTCTTCTCATGGTGCTTAGATACGGGATGCTGTACTTAGACATGTAGGTAGGTAGGTAGCCCAAGGTATAATTGAGAGAAAAAACAAATGACAAGAAAAATTTGGTAACCTCAGTCGGACCCCACAATGCCCACGTGCCCTCTGAACGGACTTGTTAGTTGTGCCTTGAAGTTTGAACCACTTGATTGTCGTAAAACACCCCATACCTCAGGTGCAGATCACAATGTGAGCATGCCCAGCAAATAGATTCATTAAAAAAAAAAAAAAAAAAAACCGTCCTTATGGTCCTGCAAAGAGATTGTAAGCTTACGGCCAATTGCAAACTAAATCCCACATTTGGGGTGTATGCAAAATTATGTGAACGGTCTGTAGATGGATTCCAAAAATGCATTGAACCCTTGGATGATGAAATACACCCCATATTTGGGGTGGTCGCAGGCTGTAGATCAAACGATGCAGATCAATGGTGAGCAGAGAATGCAACACCGATCCCCCAAAAAAAATTGGGCTTAAGCGCGCTAGCACTGCGTCTGGCGCACGTGCGCCGCCCATCTGCGCGACTGTCACGAATGTTCGCGCGCGATGGTGCTCGCACCTCGCTGGTGTTTTTGAGAGCTTGCACGCGAGGGTGCTCGTCCGTGTGTGAGGCGTGTTAATGCACGCTTCAGCGCCCGCCAGGGAGTGCGAGTGGCCGAACTCTGCGACGAGCATGGAGTGGAATATGGGATGGTGATCAACGGCTAGAACCTCGTCACTTAATGTCCTCGACTTTTGAAAGCACGTCAGTGCCATCTCTCTGCTTCGCGTTTCATGAGAGTGATGCTGCAGGCTAGCATGCCAAAAGGAGGGGAGCATTGCTTGGTATCGAGTGGTACTTCAGGAGTAATCACTAGTACTCTTCATCTTGCAAATTTAGGTGGAGGATGGTCAGTTCATCGCGAGACGTAGAAGAGTTCAGTTTGTCCCACATGGTGGGAGGAGGATTGTTGGGGGAAATTTAAAGTCACAAGAGGGTACTTTTTGTCGCTCGGCAGCATCTTCGCACCGGCGACAACGAGCTTGTGCACGATCTCACCTGTCCTCAAGGGACACGACTTCAACAACTTCAAAAAGTGTTCGACTGCCCTTGTGCTCGTGCCCCTCCAAATGTGTGCGCATAGCCGGCACTTCAGCCAGTACTCTCCTCAACCCTTCGGCAGGGCGTCTTGACCCTAGATAACGTACTTCCACACTTCCCGAGTGCGCTGCAGTTGTTGTTGCCTTGTCTCATCCTGAGGAAGGAACAGAGAGTGGTCTGACGCTGGTGTGGGATCCTTTGCAGTC